GGGGCCCTGGGACACACAAATAAATACACACAAATAAAAAGATCCCCTATATTTTCCCATATTTTCTGGGTTTCTGTCTTCCACCCCCACTTCCCATATTTCCGCATCTTTTCTGGGAGTCGACGAATCATTGTGTCTGTGTGCCTTTTCCCCTCCTGATCTTCCCCCCTCCCATCCGTACGCCTATTCGCTCCCCGTGCCCATCAGCGAACTTCTCCCTCTGCTGGCGAAGCTGCCGAGGAAAAGACGCACACGTCCGAGCGATGCCAAGCTCTTGCCTGCCCGATGCTCTCTCCTCTTCCCCCCTCCCATCCGTACGCCTATTCGCTCCCCGTGCCCATCCGCGAACTTCTCCCTCTGCTGGCGAAACCGTCTCCTCATTTCGTTGACCTTCGCGCCGAAGATCGCGACCGCTTCGTCGCCGGCCCTGCCACGGAGCACGAGAGCAGCACGGCCACGAAAAGCGAAGGGAACAGAGGGCGACCGTGCACAACACGAGCTCACTGACATAGCTACAAAAGCGAAGGGAACAGAAGACGACCGTGCACAACACGAGCTCACTGACATAGCTGCAGCCGGACCTGGGGCAGAAGAGCACCCCCCCCAGGACATGAGGCCCTCCGCCGGCCGAACCGAGAAGCATTCGATCGGGGAACAGAGAGTGACGTAAACGTAAAAACTCGGAGGTCCGCGCGGATTTCTCGGATCGGCGCTGGGCCCCCCCGGCGGCGCCTCCGGTGCTGCCCTTGGCGCGTTCCGCGCGCCAGGGAGGGGGGTCCAGCGCCGATCCGAGAAATCCGCGCGGACCTCCGAGTTTTTACGTCTATGTCACTCTCTGTTCCCCTCCTATTCGAGGGTGCCCTCCCCCAAGCATGCGCGAGAGCACCCAGCCGGCACAAAAGAACATCGGCGTGTGCCCTCCCCGAACCGGCCTAGGACAGAAGAGCACCCCCCCCAAGACATGAGACCCTCCGCCGGCCAAACTGAGAAGCATTCGATAGGGTGCCCTCTAAAACATGGCTAGGATCGGGATAAATCGCTCCAGAGCGTTCCGGAGCGCTCTCAGAGCGTTCCGGAACGCTCTGGAGCGGCCGCGGCGCCCAATACATCCTCCAAACCCGCCGATTCTCAGAGAATTCGAGTTATCCCGATCCGATTATGTCCCGATCTTCGCGTCGTTTTACCCTCCCCGAGGATGCGCGAGAGCACCCAGCCGGCACAAAAGAACATTGGGGCGGATGCCCTCCCCGAACCGGCCTCGAGCTCGCACCTCGGCCCGGCCGTGCTCGGCCTGCACGCGCCGGCCTGGCCCGCTCTCCGGGACAGCAGCCTCTTCGGCGCTTGGGCTAGGTCGGGCGTGGACCCCCTCACAGGGGGATGTTCGATAGGATACCGATTTCTGACCACACCCACTTCCCGAGGTGCCTTGCGAGAAGTGGTTTCCAGAGGTGGAGGTGGGCAGTTTCCCCGCCCCAGGGGAAGGAGACACTACCCACTTCCACCCCCGAGGGCCTATCATAGAATCGAGGATCCAGAGGTGGATGTGGTCAGAAATCGGTCTTCGATTCGACGAAAGATAAACCTGATATTGCCACGAACCCCGACCTTGGAGGACAACTGGGCGCGACTTGCGAGAAAGAGAGCAGCAAAGAAGAGGATGCCTGTAGAGCGCATTGCGTCGGTTCCCGTGTTGTCCGTTTGACGCTGTGACGCTTTGTCGAGGCGCCTCCGGCCGTCCTAGGAGGATGTTCGACGAAACATATAACACATACTCCAAAAATGCCCCCAAATGGTCAAACAATACGAAGAGAAATAGCCCCCAGTCGATCTTTATGACTATTTTTGAACATTCCTCCTGTAGAGGGACAGGCCCGACTGAACGCTTGGGCGCATGTCCGTGCCATGGCCTGCCATGGAGCTGTGCCTTCAGCCTCCATCTCGAGCACCCACTCTGCGACAGGACCCTCAGATCCTCACGCTGCAACTTTTCACGACGTGCGCTTCAGCCCCGCTTCGGGCCCTGACACATACAGATCAACTCGGCTCGAGACATGAGGCGAAAGATGAGGTCTGAGGCTCCGGTAAGTATTTCTTGAGATGTCGAACCTTTTTCGCAACGTCGGATCTCAGGGGATGTAGAACGGCGAATCTCGATCTCAGCTAGCGGTGATGACTTGACGCAGCATTTGCCTGTGTGATCTTCACGGGAGGGGCGAGAAAGAGCGCCCGGGACGAGACCCAGGGAGAGGACCTGGTGAATGCGCTGGTGGCGGTAGCCATCTGCAGCCAAACTATGGCATGTATGGACATGATCAACGGCCGAAGCGACGGCCGGTCTCCTCACCCCGGCCGCGTCCACCAGCGACTCGGGCACGACGCGCCCGACGATGACGCGCCCAGACAACGCCACGGGCTTGAACCCCAGCTGCGTCTGGAAGTCGGCCGCGAACACCTCCCAACATGCAAGTCGCAACAGCAGTTGCGCAGGGCCGCGGCCGGAGCGTGACGCCCGCGGAGCCGCACCGTTCCAAGCGCTTGCGAAGACGAGTGCAGAACCCGCGGGGATCCCACGACCCTTCGCCGCGAACGTCGGGGCCAACCTGGGACTACGGCAAGCCCCAGAGCGGTCAAACCGAATCTGGCCGCTCACGGAAACCCAAACATCTGACTGTTTTTTGCTGCTCCGCGGTCATGACTGATGGCCCCCGGGCCCGATGACGCGCACGCAGGTGGCGGGGCAATCTGGGAACCCTGAGCCCCAACATGAGGACGTCTCACTTTTACCTTTAGGTCGGGCATGTCCTCCTACAGGCGGGTTGTGGAGCCGAGTGAGAAAAAGTCAAACGAACGCTCAAACATAGTCAAACGTAGTCGAAACATAGTCCCCTGACTATTTTTGTAAAACTATTTTTGAAAATTCCTCCTGTTGGACATGACCGACTTAATTTTACTTCCGCCACCTTCCGCTGGCGGACCCGCCGTGGTTTCACCTTCGCAGCGCTTCCGCCGGAGCCGAGGGCGAGGCGCGCCGAAAGAGGCGAGGCCCTGTCCTCGACGGGGCTTGTCGCGGGGGCCCCGACACAGCGTGGCGGGAGCCGGTGGTCGACAAGGGTGCTCCTGGCCCAAGGTCCCCCCCTCCCCCTCCTCCTCCTCCTCCTCCTCCTCCTCCTCCTCCTCCTCCTCCTCCTCCTCCTCCTCCATCTCCTCCTCCTCCTCCTCTTCCTTCGCCGCCTCCTCCTCTTCTACGCTCCTCCTCCTCCGCCTCCTCCTCCTCCTCCTGCTCCTCCTCCTCATCCTCCTCCTCCTGCCGCGCCATCTGGGGCCCCTAGGGCCCTCCAAGCCTCGTGAGGGGCGCTCTGGACCCACACCCCTTGGCGGCGCGCGCACGGGGGTGGAGGGAGGGAGGAGGGCTTCTCAGAAGGAGGCTGCTCCTTAAGAAGGTGCCGGCCTGACATCTCTAGATGAGGCCCGCGCCGTCTAAGAACACCTCCACCCACCTCCTCCTCCTCCTCCTCCTCCTCCTCCTCTCCCTCCTCCTCCCCTCCTCCTCCTCCTCCTCCCCTCCTATCCCCCTCCCCTCCTCCCCCCCTCCTCTCCTCCTCCTCCTCCTCCACCTCCTCCGCCTCCTCCTCCTCCTCCTATTCCTGCTCCTACCTCCTCCTCCTCCTCCTCCTCCTCCTCCTCCTCCTCCTCCTCCTCCTCCCCTCCTCCTCCTCCTCCTCCTCCTCCTCCTCCTCCTCCTCCTCCTCCTCCTCCTCCCTCCTCCTCCTCCTCCTCCTCCTCCTCCTCCTCCTCCTCCTCCTCCTCTCCTCCTCCTCCTCCTCCTCCTCCTCCTCCTCCTCCTCCTCCTCTCACCTCCTCCTCCTCCTCCTCCTCCTCTCCTTCCTCCTCCTCCTCCTCCTCTCCTCCTCTCCTCCCTCCTCCTCCTCCTCCTCATCCTCCTCCTCCTCCTCCCCTCCTCTCCTCCTCCTCCTCCTCCTCCTCCTCCTTCCTCTCCTCCTCTCCTCCCCTCCTCTCCTCCTCCTCTCCTCCTCCTCCTCATCTCCTCTCTCCTCCTCCATCCTCCTCCTCCTCCTCCTCCTCCTCCTCCTCCTCCTCCTCTCCTCCTCCCTCTCCTCCTCCTCCTCCTCCTCCTCCTCCTCCTCCTCCTCCTCCTCCTCCTCCTCCTCCTCTCTCTCCTCCTCCTCTCCTCCTCCTCCTCCTCCTCTCCTCCTCCTCCTCCTCCTTCCCACCTCTCCTCCTCTCTCCTCCTCCTCCTCCTCCTCTCCTCCTCCTCCCTCCTCCTCCTTCTCCTCCTCCTCCTCCTCCTCCTCCTCCTCCTATCCTCCTCCTCCCTCCTCCTCCTCCTCCTCCTCCTCCTCCTCCTCCTCCTCCTCCTCCTCCTCCTCCTCCTCCCACCCCCCTCTGCGCGTGGCTGAACCCCCTCGCGTCGTGCACGAGATCACCGCGCACGGGTCGTGGGGGCCCTCACCCGGACCTGGGACCGTCGACGCGCGGGGAAGGGGTCCAGCTCTCTGGGGGTCACCTCCTCCTCCTCCTCCTGCTCCCTCCTCCTCCTCCTCCTCCTCTTCCTCCCTCCTGCCCTTCTCCTCCTCCCTCCTCCTCCTCTCCTCTCCTCCTCCTCCGTCCCCCATCCCCCTCCCCATCCTCCTCCAAACTCCTCTCCTTCTCCTCCTCCTCCTCCTCCTCCTCCTCCTCTCCTACCATCTCCTCCATCTCCTCCATCTCCTCCATCCCTTCCCCCCGCTCCCCCCCCTCCCACTCATCCCCCCCCCCGCCCCACTCTCCTCTCCTCTCCTAGACTCTCCTCTCCTCCTCCTCCTCCTCCTCCTCCTCCTCCTCCTTCTCCTCGGGTCGCCTACGGCCCCCGAGGAAACCGCGCAGGGGGGGTCGTGAGCAAAATCATGATGTCGGGGGCCTGGGGAGGCCACCTGCGCCTCCCCCCGAAGAGCTGGGGACCACCCCTGGCCAAAGCCACGCTCTGGCAACCCTCGCAGGGGAAGGCCACGCTGGCGACGACTGGGGGCGGTCGTGGGCAGGGGCAAGCGGAGGAGGTCGGCCATAGTGGAAGGCAACATCGCGGGCGGGGACACTCGGGGACAGAGCCGGCGGCGATGAGTCCAGGCAGCGGCGAGCAATGCTCTGCGACGGCGGACAAGCCGCCCCTGCAGTGCAGGAGCTGTCCCTGGGAACCGCATCAATCGCTAAATCTTCAGAGGCGCATTTCGGAATGGCTGCACGGCGCATCGCTTTGGTCCCAGCGCTTTCGCGGAGTGCAGATTTACTCCATGTCAATCGCGGCAGGCAAACTTTCGGTGGCACGTTGAACCTTAATTTTGTGGCACGTGTTTTTAAATATGTATAAATGTATTTGTTCGTGTCCGCTATGAGCACCTGGTCATTGCGTGCACCACTTCATCATGTCCCAGAAAGCCATATTGGAGATCGGTGATGGTGACCTTGCCAAAACCAGTCACCGTGGCTGCGCTGAAGCCCGTGCGAAAACTGTTGCAACTGGATGATCAGCCACGCGCTCGGTCATGACATCACTGGAGCTCCTGCTCGCCCTACACTTAACAACCAGACACCTGGAACACACACACACACACACACGCACGCAAGTACGCACGCACGCACGCACACACACACACACACACACACACACGCGCGCGCGCACGAACGCACGCACGCACGCACGCACGCTCACACGCACACACGCACACACGCACACACGCACGCACGCACGCACGCACGCACACACGCACGCACGCACGTACGAACGCACGCGCGCACGCGCGCACGCGCGGCGCGCGCACGCGCTCACGCGCACGCGCGCACGCGCTCACGCACGCACGTACGCACGCACGCACGCACACACGCACACACGCACACACGCACACACGCACACACGCACACACGCACACTCATACACGCATACACGCACACACGCACACACGCACACACGAACACACGCACACACGCACGCCGCACCGACGCCACAGGCCCCCTGCACACACTCACACGCCCAACTCCGACACAGCACTACGTACGCACACCGTAACACACGCACATACGCAATACACTGCACACACGCCAACACGCACACAGGCATAACGCACACACTCATCCACGCACGCACGCACACACGCACACACGCACGCAAGCACACACAGCACGCCGCACGCACACACGCACACACGCACACACGCACACGCGCACACGCGCACACCCGCACACGCCTACACACGCACACACGCACACACGCACATTGCACATTACGCACCCACGCAACACACGCACACACGCACACACGCACAAACGCACACGCACGCTCACACACGCACACACGCTCACGCGCACACACGCACAGACGCACACACGCACACACGCACGCACACACGCACACACGCACACACGCACACGCACACACGCACACACGCACACACGCACACACGCACACACGCACACACGCACACACGCACACACGCACACACGCACACACGCACACACGCACACACGCACACACGCACACACGCACACACGCACACAAGCACACACGCACACACGCACACACGCACACACGCACACACGCACACACACGCGCACACGCACTCACACGCGCACGCGCACATACGCGCCCAAGCACACGCACACGCGCACACGCGCGCACGCGCACACGCGCACGCGCGCACGCACGCACGCACGCACGCACGCAAGCACGCATGCATGCACGCACGCACACACGCACACACGCACACACGAACGCACGCACGCAAACACGAACAAACGAACACACGCACACGCGCACACACGCACACACGCACACACGCACACACGCACACACGCACACACGAACACACGCACACACGCACACACGCACACACGCACACACGCACACACGCACACACGCACACACGCACACACGCACACACGCACACACGCACACACGCACACACGCACACACGCACACGCACACCCACACACGCACACGCGTACACACGCACACACGCACACACGCACCGACGCACGCAGGCACACACGCACACACGCACACAGGCACACACGCACACACGCACGCACGCACACACGCACACGCGCACACACGCACAACACACGCACAACACACGCACACACGCACACATGCACACGCGCACACAAGCACACGCGCACACACGCACACACGCACACACGCACACACGCACACACTTCTTTGATCTGCGGGGCGGGAGCGAAACTCTTCCGCTTAAGGTTAAGCGGGCTACGCAAAGCTTAAATTAGGGAGACATGGCACAGGAATCGCACACACACGCACACACGCACAGACGCACACACGCACACGCGCGCACATGCGCACACGCGCACACGCGCACACGCGCACACGCGCACACGCGCACACGCGCGCACGCACGCACACACACGGACGCACGCACGCACGCACACACGCACACACGCACGCATGCACGCACGCACACACGCACGCAGGCGCACACACGCACACTC